GAAGATAAAGTCACATTTTATCAAAAGTAATAGGTATACTACCAACGGAAATGGATAAATACTATTCTAATACTAATGGATATTCTTGATAATATTAACAGTCAGCTTCGCAACGCATTCTAGCATTGATTCTATAAATTCTGCGCATGTTTCCTAAGGCCTGTCTCCGTTTACAAATCCATTATAATATTTAAATCTGATGTTGGTTATATGTTTATTCGACAACTTTTTAACGGTATGGTACAGATTTTCTATAATTTCTCTGGACAACTTAATTTTGCCAACACTTTAAATATTTTATTTTTTAAATATCTATTTTTGAAGTCGCTCTTGGTAACAACCGTTTAAATAATGATTTCTGGGTGCTTTCAGTTATTATTGTTTTAAAATATCTAGGTTAATATAAATTTTTAAATCGATCGAGATTCAATTAGGTACAATAATATTAATACATTTCTCAGTATGTTGCGATTAATAAATTCAATGGTTGAAAGGTAGGTACTTATTTTATTTCTTGGAAAAAACCACATCTGCAAAAGTTGACCTTTCTTATCTGACCCATGTGACGTGGATGATAAGCGGTAAGTTTTTCAATAAATCTCTTAATGTGTGTGTGAGTTTTTACAAAAAAACTAGAGTTCCGTTTTGAAGTTTGATAAATTATGATCTAATCGTATGTAGGAAGCAGATAGTAAACGTATATCTCTGATTGTGTTCATAGATACAGTCTCATATGAAATGTTTCATGCTAAAAATATACGAATTCAGTTTTTATACATTACGTAGTTTCTTCCTTATTGAAATAAATGTGAATGTTTGTAATTCATTCCACTTTCACAAGGTAATTTGAAAAATATTTATCTTAAATATGGAAACCTTTTTAATATTAATCTATTCCTATTTTCATGGAAACTATGTATTACCGAAAACAAAATCCATACACCAATAAACAAATAGGTATAGCTCCATTTTCTCTTTTTATAAAACCAGTGATTGTTATGGTCGGAAGTATACTGATAGCAGGGTATTTTTTTTTTGCTTATTTTGGCTTGCTTGATAAATTATTATTTAATATGTTATTTTATTACACATCTCTAATTTATAACCTATAAATTTTTTGTTCAGTTCACTTTTTATGTTCCGGTATCATTCTCATCTCTACATTTCAAACGGAAAAATAACAAAACAATTACAAAGTTCTAATTAATTTCTGTTATTCTACAAATTATTAACAGAGTACTGAAGCATTCACGTTTATTCAAAACTAGTTTTGAAGAATTCTACTGATTATAATTTAGAATCAAAATTGTTTGAGGTTATGGCAAGGATTCGCCAACAACTAACACATAGGACTTGGCATCATCGCTAATGCAAGGCTGCAGCCAATCTTGTTGTGCAACTCGTTTAGACAAGCCGATTATGCGACTAGGGTAACAAGATTTTAAGTTGAAGATTTTAATTAAGCCACTGCAGTTATTTATTTCAATTGGTCAGTGTCTGTTTTGAGAGCGTTTATAGACATGTTGATTCCTATGATTCGTCTGTTATACTGGTATCTTAGCGTGTTTATTCACTTAATTCTTTAACTTCTAATTCTCATAATTGTCATTTTAAATAATTACTGGTGGTAGAATATGTTGAAAGTTCGCATAGGTTTAACATCCTCCTATATTTTTACTGGTGGTAGGACCTCTTGTGAGTCCGCACGGGTAGGTACAACCACCCTGCCTATTTCTACCGTGAAGCAATAATGCGTTTCGGTTTGAAGGGCAGCCGTTGTAACTATACTTGAGACCTTAGAACTTATATCTCAAGGTGGGTGGCGCATTTACGCTGTGGATGTCTATGGGCTCCAGTAACCACTTAACACCAGGTGGGCTCGTCCACCCATCAAAGCAATAGAAAATAAGCAATAGAAAAATATAATTCTACCGCAAAGCAGTCATACGTTTCTGCTTTGAAATATGGACAGTCATTGCATTAATACAATATAAATTTCATCTTATCTTTATCAAGGGTACCAGGATTCATATGCTACTTATTTTAACAGCTTAACTTAACACCAGGACCGCCTTATTTTTGTCTGACAGACAGTTGAAATCCTTGTCACTCTACCAAAATAGTGTTAAATTTGTAACTTTTTTTTAACTTACTTTTAGATTCTTTTATTTTAATCTTGTTACAATTTTTTTTTCCGAGTGGCAAGTTTTACGCGTGACCTATAAATTAACACGATACTTTATTTTCAAAAATACTGTCTTACAGGGAAAACAAGGCGACCCTACTCAAAGGAAATAGTTGAGAGTGTCGAGGCGCAATGCGGACCGGAAACGTCGGCCGTTCCCACGGACACTCATCCGTTAGCTCACCTCGCCTCCCTGCGCACCTCAGGACCCCTGTTACTTTCTAAGAAACTCACAGCAGTTCAGTTCTATATAATTTCATATTCTCAGTTTAATTAAACTGTTATTGAAAAACACAATACTGGTAACTTAAAACTGGTAAAGACTAATAGTATACTAGGTATGAGCGTTAGGATATTTAATAAACTACCAAAGAAATTAAGAGACCTAGACGATTTTCATTTTAAGTAAAAACTAAAAGATAATCTTATTAGTGAAAATTATTATCACATAAATGATTTTCTTAGGGACGACATTGAAAATATATTGATTTTTTAATTATTAGTTGAATTATGGATGAATGAATGGTAAATTATATAATATCTTGCAACTTTGTTTACTGAACACAATCATAACGATTGCGTAACTAGTGAATTAATTGTTTTCTTGAAAATTAACTACGTAGCTTATAGTATCCTAATAATAAATTCCAAATTATATTCTATAAACGCCGCATACAAATTTTAATTTCTCCGAACTTTAAACTGTGTTTTGCATTTGAAAATATGACGAATGATTTCCATGGAAATCTATCAGACCGTCTTGGTTATTTCTGATTTTTATACACCAGACAGACGGAAAATCAAATTTAACGAAACCATAACAACGCGTCTGTCTAAGCAAATTCAAAAGCAGTAACATAAACAAATCACATAATTGAAATCAATGTCTTTGTCGGTCGGAGGCGTCAGCCCCGCTACTTCCCGCAATAGGACCAGCTGATCTCATTGTTTAGTCTACCAGTGTGTTGCTTTTAATTCCTAAACTAAACGAACTACAAACTTGATTATGTATTCATGACGATATTTATTGGTTACGCAATATTCGAATTAGGTATTGCGATAGGTTAACTAATATCTCTTGCAAGTAATCTCATTGCTATTTTTGTATATTCAGTAGTTTTTATTTCGAACTATTAATAAACTACATACTACGCAATGATGATCATTCAACAGTTCTCAGTGATGATAAATCGAACATAAAAAATCGTGGTTTTTGTTAATTTACAATAAACCTAATATAATGCACGCGCGGAACAGAAGTAATATTGTGTCTGATCCGGATTTTAAACTTTATGAGATCCTCTTATAGTTGAGTTTACTTAGTACTTAAGTAAATATTGCGTGTTTCGTTACTTAAGAAGGTATGCAGGACTGAAATAGGTATGATAATGGGTACCATTTGTTCTAAAAATGCTTATCAGAGCATATCCTACCGGCAGTGCTCAAAATTACAAGAGTCAAGTGAGGAATAGAAATAAGTATGAAAGTAAGGCGAAGCTACTATTACTATAAGCGAATGATAGAGAGAATCGGCAGAAGCTCCAGAATACTGGGGTCACATATTCGTATCTTCTGATTAAACTTTTTTTGGAATGAAGTTCCTTATAGGACGATGAGCCGGGGTACCCTAACCGGGAAAAAACGTCCGTAACGTAAGATTTTTATTATTTATGTATATATAGTCTTAATATGATGGCTATACAGTGTCCAATGTATAGTCTACGTGATGACGGTTATTATTATTATTCATATAAATAGCTGTTTCTTTCTATATTATTTTTTATTATATATTTTTTATAAATGATTGTGAATAAAATAAAGTTGATAACTTTGTAGAGTAGATTTTTTTTTTATTTTTAATAAAAAAATCATAATAAAAAATGTATAACCAAATAATTATTTTCTTTGTACCTCGAATAGAACTTAAAATTAATATTTTTATAATAAGGAACTTCGTTCCTATTCGGTGTCCCACGACATCACAAAATATCTTTTATTTAATTTTTTTGTCTTATTACATCCAATCTGAACTTCACATTTCCTTAACAAAAAATGTTACGGAAGGAAAATTTAATTCAATGCAAAATTATATTAGTGAAGTAAATGCTGTTACTGTTGTTAGTTCGTTACGGAGTGGGAGGCGGTAGGCGGTACATCGTGATCGTACAAGTGGACCGGATCTCCGGGCCGTGCGTCGGCGGCCGGAAGTACGCAAGACTTCCGCTCCCTCGGGACTGATCGTCACGCGTCAAGGCGTCACACAACACTGTCTTATTACTACTTCGCTTTCAGATTTTTGTTAATTAGCTTTGATTTATATAACTTTAATAGTTTTCAAAAGGTAGACCTCATGACATTACAGATAACATGCAGTGTTATTTCTTCAAAAACATACACCTCCTATGTACAAAATACATGAGTAGTTCGGCCTCATAGGGTATAAAGGAAGCGACAACTTAGAGATGTTTATATTCTTTTTTGCACTTTAATTTTTTATTTTATTATTCCTTCCTTTATTTATTCCTTTTAACATCTGTATGCGCAATTTGCAAAGTTGCTTTGCTTGATAGCAGTACTCCGGCGTCCTAATTTTTAGGCCACAACGTCTTGATTACGGCGTATAGACGTGATTTTCAAACTCTCTCAGACCATTGATAATAAAAGTATCTGAAATAATAGACACATGTAGTGATTGATTCTCTATTGACACACTTTTTGTCAGCTTAGCTGCTAAACGTCTAAATTTGGGTTAGCAATGCACCTAATAATATGAGATAGAGTCCTTTAAAGTACCAACGTAAAATATATTCGAATTATGATTAGTAAAAGAGACATCAATATTTTTTTACCACCTATGATATGTAATAATCTACGGGAAAAAATCAAAGATGGTGCGATTGGTATGTCTAAAAATAGTTTTTTGTTGGTGTAGCTCACGATACAATTAGAGATTAGAGACATTACAAGATAAATTCCAATACCCATCATTAGGCACGAAGGCTAGTCTTAGTTAATTAAAGAATCAAACTTCAAATAGTTTGAATTTTGATAGGACGGAGACGCCCTTACTTATGCCTGTGCTACAGATTCAACAAATTCAAATCCACAATCTTTATTAGCACTTTGGATTTGATTACATGCTGTAATTTCTTGGTCGTGTTATACTTTTCTGTATTAATGTTACTAGCCTGACGATAGAACGACCCCGTCATGACCTATGCAAGTGTAGTGTTCGCTCACGCGGCCCGCACTGATTAAAAATCACTCGAAATTATTCAATCCCGTTTTTGCAGGATAGCCGTCGGAGCCCCGTGGTTCGTCAGGAACGTCGACCTCCATGACGACCTATACTTAGAGTCCATCAGTAAGTATATTCAGTCGGCATCGATGCGCCACTTCGATAAAGCGGCACGACACGAGAACCCTCTCAAAGTGGCCGCCGCTAACTACATTCCCGATCCTGCGGACAGAATGGAAAACAGTCAATGTCGCCCCAAACACGTAATTTCGGATCCTCCCGATTCACGAACAGTGCTAGGTACCTCAAGCACCGGTCATCGTTCTCGTCGAACCCGACGCTTGCGACGAAGAGCTCGACGAGTAAATTAACCCTCAGACCCAGCCCACTGAGTTTCTCGCCGGATCTTCTCAGCAAGGGCGGATCCAGCTTTGGCGCCAGGAGGGGGTCACATAGTCAAATTTAGATGCGTTCGTTCCCAAACGTTTGCCATTATACAAAGTTATTATATTATATTAAATTAATTAAATATTGAAGGTATGTAGTTACATAAAATCTGTATGGTGACAAAATATATAAATAAAATCATTATATTCAATTAGTGGTCCACCTAAGTCCTGGACCCAGCTCAGGGGGTGGTCATGACCCCCATGACCCTCCCCCTGGATCCGCCATTGCTTCTCAGTGGGTCGCGTTTCCGATCCGGTGGTAGATTCTACGAAGCACAGCTCTTGCTAGGGTTCGTGTTAGCAACGTCGTCAGGTTTGAGCCCCGAGAGCTCAACCACTAGTTAAGTTTAACTGAAATAGCCACTCAAGGCTCTCAGCTTAGGTAGGAAAAAAAATCGAACGACGGTATAATCGCATAGCTATGAGCATACCGGACTTCTTAACTACGCCACGAACACTTTTCTTTTTTTGTATATTTTAATGGAATCTCAGCTCCATCATAATAATCAAACCGTCATAATAGTCAAAGCTTTTGTTCAGTACATTCTTAGAGACATGTCTAATATAAGAGATTTTTTTAGATGATATGGACAACTTAGTACTGAATCAAGACAAACGAAACGGAAGGATTTGGAAAATGAGCCTAGGAAATAAAATCACAAATATCAGTCCCAGTTCTATACGTCCATTATCAATAACTTGGTTTCCTGATCAACTTTATTTTGCTATTAACAAAAAGAAACTCACTAAGAAGTTAAGGTTAGTGGTTTACCTTTGTCATATCCTTTAGATATGGCATTACTCGATAACCTTTATTCTGTTTTTATTGACTTAAATAGATGCTGTTGTTAATTAACTTTCAGTATTATATTATGCAAATAAAATAAATGTTATTAAAGCTAATTTTATAATTTAGCTTCGCGTTTATTATTTTACGATTGAAGGTTCGAATGCTTTACAGTTTTAGTTTTTGTGGCCACGGACTTTTACGCTTCAATAAACGAGTAAAAGTTATTACGTTCTATGTTATATTTTAATAATTATGTATTCGACTTGCAAAAAGGCACAAATATATAAACGTGCTTCTTAATAATACAAAAAAGACATCGCTTTTATTAATATCGTATACTTTTCTGCCCGTTGTTGTCCATAGTATTTAAAATGTTATTCATTAATCAACAAATAAGTTCTGAAGTTTTGATCAAACATTAAACAGTATTTCTGGTACATGGCGAGACGTGTTTCAATTCGTACAGGCTGATTTCAAAGTCGCATTCTTCCTATTTCTATCGTAATCCAGTCGTGCGTTCTTGTTTGTTTTAGCCGTTATTCTAATATCACTGCGATTATGATCTTATATATCAAAAAGGGTCCCATTAATGACGCCTAGTCTATTTATTACCTTGAGTAACAACTAGGCTGATCGTGAGCTTATCTATCCGTGTGAGCACACAGACAGACCGCCTCGTTGGTCGAGTGGTTAGTTATCCTAGTATACGGGCTCCAGATTTGGTCGTTGAATGTGGAGCTGGAGGAGAGAATTAACCTTTTTCTTGTCCTTATTCCACATTATCTTGGGTCGGTGTACCATGTCCTCTAATCACGCTACATAGGAATTTGGCATGAGTTTTACAACCGGCTTATGCTGCATAGGAATTTAGCATGAGTATTTCGACCGGCATTCGCCTGCCTGTCGTCAACCCTCTTTGGGTTATAGCTCAAGTATCCATCCAGTATGGATTATATCCATTACAATCTGCCATAGGGAGGAACTTTTCGGTTTCTTCGTTTAGTGTTTGTTTAGTTCATCCTTTTTGGTTCTATGATTTTTATTTTAATGTTATGAACATTTGAGGTTAAGTAAGATAATAATATCACATTTTATTCGTTTTTCTATATTTTCAAATAATGTCGAAATGTGGAATAACAAAAACTTTATAAGTTCCTCTTTGTTTGACCCAGGGTCTTGAATGCTTGCTCAAATACCGTTTATATACACTGCTGTGGGTTATGGAACGAGAAGGCAAGACTGGGAGCAAGTTGGAATTGCCATCCCCGCACTAGAATTCGTTTAGCGCCAGGATTAATGGGCGAAATAACAGTTCAAATTACACCTCGTGAAATTAGTCCCGTTCAATTTACCTGTGCTGTTCTGCAATTAGCTGCATCGCATCTACGGGAAAACGTAACAGGATATTTCGCTGTTCCCATTGAAGTTTCATTCTTGAACAGTGTGATGCCGTCTTTAGCCGGCGAAGAATCATAGCAAAGAAACAAACGGAGTTCTTGATCACATCACAGAAGACTGAAATTATTTAATATAAAAAAAGTGAAACTATATTTTTTTTTTGCGAAAACTGAAATTAATTTGTTTGTAAAATATAAAATAGAATAAAATATACATCTATGAATCAATTTATCTTCTCGTATAATCGTGTTTTTAATTATGTATTTTTGGTAGAAAATAGTTCGGCAGAGAAGCTTTATTTTTATTTTTAGACTATAAAATTAAATATGACATAAAAAATACCCGTTATTTCGGATCGGATCAACACGCAGGTGTCTAACGAAAGTTGTGTATTTAGTTTATAATTTCTAAGGATGTTCATGTTTTGTGTGGTTTTATTTGGACTAGAGGTCCCGCAGTAGTCGAAATTCGACTATAATTTATTGGAATTGTAAGTTTGTACACTATTATGATTGTATTTTATACTTCTATTCTCAATTTGTCGTCACACAGCTACACAATTTGTGCCACAACGTCAAGATAAAAGTTTGACAATAAATAGTATGCATGCGTGTGTGCGTCAAATACATGGTATGTAGTGTGTGTAATGTTTTCTTTATTGATTTAATGTATCTTTTATGCATTATTTTAAAAAAATATTAGCATTGTGCACTTCTTCTCTATATTCTCTATAAGTGTGGAAAATTTCATACTCCTCGGTCCGCGCAATTTTCGTAAAAAGGGATACAAAGTTTTTGCTTCACGTATTAATATATAGATATTAAGCTTCAATCACTGTCGACTAATGAATTTAATATTAAAGAGATTAGCGCCTGCAGATTCCCCGTTGTGTACTAAACTTAATATTCTGTGAGCTGACACTCATAAATGAGATTAAAAGCAGCCCATATTTTTTTACATCGTTCAAATATATGTATTTCCATACCGAATAGTCAACATTGGGTTGGTGGTTTAAGCGCGAAAATGTATACTGAGTCATGATGATTTTCATAATGTTATTTGCTATATTTTCTAGTGTAAGTGATATTTAAATGACGATAACTTTTTATTACATTTTTTTTGCGGTTGCGGGCGGTGCTATTGTAAAAACGAGATGACGGTATTATCTCGAACAATTCTTCAGAGCATCATCATCCGATTTCTTTTTTTTTTATGCCTCTGTAGGCCGCCGAGCGTACGGCCCATCTGGTGATGAGTGGTTACCGTTGCCCTGGACTTCAGCAATGTCAGTGGTAGAGCCAAGCCGCTGCCTACCGGGCAGTCTATAGTCTCCAAATTTGTATCTGTCTACCTGTGATGTGAATGATATGATATTCCGTTTACTACTTCCTGAGATATGCGCCAACAGACATATAGATTTATTTTTTATTGGCATGATGGGTGAACGAGCTCCCAGACCACCTGTTGTCAAGTGATTACCGTAACCCATAGACATCAACAACATAAATACCGCTACCCACCTTGAGACAGTTCTAAATCACAGTTTTGCAGTAGAACGGCTGCTCCACCCTACAAACCGAAACACATTACTGCTTGACGGCAGAAATAGGCGGGGCAGTGTCCCTTCTTCCGACGCCAATAAAAGATAGACAGACTGAAAATAATGATAAAGACTATGTTTTTCATTATATGTATTCTTTTCTATTTTTATCATGTTTAACCTTCCATTCGTTATGTACATTTTAGAAGGTTTAACTTATGGAATATACACAAAGGTATTTTAGAGGTTAATTTCATTAAATTATGAAATTAAAAGGCACCAGAAAGAATAAAGAATTAGTTGAATAAATGAGTCACTATCCTTGTCTTCAAAACAGCAGACGAGTGAAAACTGCCGTTGCGGGTGACGTCTGAGGAATAGACCGTGAAAAATGCTTCAGGTTATTTTCTCGGTGATTTCACACTCTCGAACAGACATCTTATTTTTAACCTCTGATTGGAAACGTGGGAGTCGCCTTGATTCTGTCTGTGTTTGAATATCTAAACCTAAAATCAAAACAAGTAAGTGTCGCAGTGTTATGTAAGTTCCGCACTCACAGTGAATGTTATGTATAATTAATGGTAATTCGGCGTTTGGGCATTCGTAATGTTTAAATCGACTTTATGTAACCGTGAATAATCCATAAATCAAAAACTACTCAATGTAACAAACATGCAGCTTCCTTTGAGTTTCAAATTTTAAAACAGTTTTATTTTGAAAATAACGGAATAAACATATTTTATATATTGAAAATAGGTGAACTTTTCTTTGCATCGCTGCAAAGTCAAGGGTACATAATGACTGTATAAAAACTTCCCGTGGTTTTCAAATTTGATAAGTACTACCTAATTCTACCTCCTGTTCCTCATTCCCCTGGCCGAACATTTTCAAGAATAACGTTTTTGCCCATTTTAGTGACACTACTATTACATAATTGTTACAACATTATTTCATGTATTGTATTGTATATCAAAACACAGAGTTCAATTTACTTCTAACGTACCTTTTTTTTCCTACCTATTCTATTAACCTCGAGGGGTTATACTAGATGCGCAGAACAAATAGAGGAGAGCTCACGGGGCTCTAAGCTGACGAAGCTGCCAACCCTAGCCCTAGCAAGAGCAGTGCTTCGCAGAATCTACCACCGGATTGGAAAAGCAACCCACTGAGAAGATCCGGCGAGAAACTCAGTGGGCTAGCGTACCTAAGTGAATAATTACTTAGAAAAATTATGAAAAGGAAACCAGATTGTAATTTATATTTTTCATGTTCATGTTTATTACGCTTTTGTTATTTCTGTTGTGTCCTCAATTAATTACGTCTTTCATATAATTAGGTACAAATTTTAATGTTCATTATTAACATACAACCTGTAATTACAGTAGTTCATAAAACATTGCTTCCTGTTAGTCTTGATTGTCCTTCTTCTAAATAGTCTGATTGGTGGGTGCGTGCCGCAAATGCGCAAGAAATAGATTTTACGAGTGCGTGTCGAGCGATATTTACGTGTGTTTACACTTCAGACGATTTTATAGGCGCAACGACACCGTCGCTCCACTGTATTAACAAATAAGGGCCTCAGGGTTGCTAACGACACAAACTTGAAAATCATAAATGTGCTTTTGCCTTTTATCAGTATTACTTTCAATATTTTGTTGTCAATTTAAGCGTAAAATAAAATTTTAGATGATATTATCTAAATTGAAAGTTAGTAACAAAAGGCTAAATCAAAACAAAATATCATAAATACTGAGAGGACTCCAACGGTGCGTAGTTGACGAAAGTAATCTTGATTTGTTTCAAAAGAGCTTTCATCGTTGAATTTTAAAGATTTAAGTCAAATATGTAGGTACTCACTATAGAGATAAAAACTCAGATGACATCCCTAAAGATGGGACCACTCTACAATTTCTTCATGTTAACTACAACGGCGAAAGATTTTACGAGTCTGCTAACTTTATTTTTATGATGACAACATTTCTGTAATCTTTTGGTTTGACAATGTTATGAAGACTTCTACATTATTATATAGCGTTACATCAAAGTGGGTTGAATCATTCCTAATATGTTAGATGTTGAATATTAATACAGTAACCAGTATCAGGGGTGTCTTGCATATAATTAAATAAGGTTTTTTTTTTTAATATAGAAGAAATCGCTTTTACCCTTAAATATTTTTTCGTTTTACTGTCTAAAAACCAATTAAATTTAACCATTTCAGAAAGAAGTGCGGAAAGATACTGATAGTGAATCGGAAGGAGAAAAGCCGGAAAGGCCGGAACGTCGGATGTCCGTTTCGGTATTTCCACCACCCACTACCGTATCCGGGCACAGAACGTCGGTGCTTTTGCAACTTTTGACGGCTTTGTGGAGAAGATTAGATAAATACATAAATGAAATTTTATGCTTTGAAAAATACAAGGTGTAGGAACATACAAATATTATTTTCAAATAGATTGATTAAGCTTAAATGAGCAAACATAAATTAAATATAGCATTTCTCGGTAAGCACTACGCAGAATTCAACGAACAATTATCACTACTTAATCAATGTAAAAAACTAGTTTTTTTTAAAATATTGCTTAGGTGGATGGACGAGTTAAGTGGTTGGTTACTGGAGCCCATAGACATCTACACCCACCTTGCGACAAATGCGCCACCCACCTTGAGACATAAGTTCTAAGGTCTCAGTATAGTTACAACGGCTACCCCACCCTTCAAATCGAAACGCATTACGGCTTCACGACAGAAATAGGCGGGATGGTGATACCTATCCGCGCGGACTCACAAGAGGTCACTCACAAATATATAGCACTCACAATAGCAAAGTACAGTCAATATTTTGCAATCCTGGAGTATCTTTACGTTGAAAGTATAAACGAAAAAACTCTTTATTTCGGTTCGTGCTGCCTGCGTTTGTACTGTCGTTTGAAAGCTTGCAATCGTCAAGTGGATATCGCATGTCCGAAAAGTGCACACACAAAGAAAGCCAGTGATCGTTTCAATGCAATTATACATCGGAGCCGATGTGAGTTACAGGGCCCACTGTCTCGGATTGATTTAGCGTGAAAATATTCTGAGCACGGAGATCACCTTACGTTTTTCTTATTAAGGAATCCTTTTATTTATTATCTGTGTGGTATTCGATACTTGATCGGCAGCTGGCGCCAATCGCTTCCGTATAGTGGTCGCGGGTTCGGCTGCAGATGCGGAATTCGATATTTTGTTGATGGAAGCGAGATTTCGACTTTTATCTAAAGATCTGCAGTGTCTCGTGCGTGAAACAAGAGATGGGACATGCAGCTGTGGAAGTCTTACAATATCTGTTTCTGTAACAATGCTGTCACTACAGGAACTTTAGATTTTGATCAAGCCTGTCTTATCTATTATGAAAATGGCAGATGACACTGTCAATAGCTATTTGAATGTTGTATAAAAGTACTTAATAAAATTATGTGCATTAATTTAATTCTAGTATTTGCTGTATCATTTTTAAATAAATACAATGTCAATTTGTCGACATGTCTTACATGATTAA